CTGAGCATTTGGCAGCTTTGTGGGCAGGAAATCATTTGTATTCTCTGGTTTAAATCAATGACCTTCTTTTCTTTGCTGTTCCAACAGGAAATTATAAACTCTGTGAACACTATTTGCATAGTGCCTTCTGCAATACACTTGTATATGCCAGGGTAAAACAATATGTTAACCTCAGCAGTGCTTCTCTGAGGTCCCTGTTAGAGAAACACAGGCACTTTACCACAGAGCTTTTCAGCAGGCACTTGTATTTACCAGAAGCAGAGACAGACTAGAAAAGATGTGAAAAGAGCTCCTTCTCCACTTCCAACAGCACCACCAAGAGATGAAGGCATTATTATTTAATAACACGGTTGTCTACTGCAGAGTATGAAAAAATGCCTTCTTTGTAACTTGGTAAGATGTTGTATCTTCAGTATGACAGACAGAAACTTGCTACTTCTACATTAAAGCTGCATTTGCACTTTTGTATCTTGCCCGTAATGTGCCAGGTACAATTTGAAAGTGCTGCATTTTTGCTTAAACTCATCATTACAGAGTTCTTGTTTTTGAAAGTTTCAGCCTCCTCTGTCCCATCCTTTTGCAAAATTCAATTAAGAAAAAGAAATTGCCACCCTATCTTGCCATGCTCATGAGAAACTGTTCCAGGGAGGTGACATTCTGAGAAAAGGCAGCGTTGAACTTGGCGCTGAATTTGCCTTCTAACATCTTCTGCTGCCCTGCACCACTTTAAGTCCAGATCATCTATTTTTTTTAGCATGTAGGAGAGCTGGCATGCAAGAAGACGAACTAGTCACAGGAAACAGAGGGAGGTGCGTGACCCTTTTTTCTATATTTCCCCCAGTGTGATCACAATGCAGCCCCAAAGTCTGGGATTCCTGTCTATGGTCAGAGCTAAGTGTTGCAGGCACCAGCTACTGGCACTGTGAAGCCCCTGGATGTATTTATTTTCATCCTGTGCAGGAGAATGATACAGTAAATCAGTATGGAAAACATGATGATAACCCCAGAGACTACCAAGGCCTCAGTGTAGTCTTCACTGGAATCAAATGTCATAAAATTCAGGCATCCAGATTTCTCTGCTTTGCTTTTTCACATGACAAGTCCTTTCAGAGTAGTTCTCAGCATCCCTCCTGTGCTCCCAATGCCGCTGGCACAAAGATGTAGTAATCAGTTGATACTTAAAGTATATGTATTAGTTATATCACAGTTCTCCCTCCCTGAAACAAAAAGGAGAGGAATGTTTCTCTGAGTGATTGAAGTGGAAGTAACACGTGATTCTTGAGCTCCTTCTTTGTTTCTATTAATCTGCCAGATGCAAAGTTGCCTATCCTGACCCCACAAGCATTTCACTCCTTCTCACTGCAAACTTTAAGTGCTTATTGGGGTCCCTTTCAGAGCTCCTGGCTGCTGGAGCACCCTTTGCATTTCTAAAATTTGCAGTTCCTGATTGAAGGGAGCCACCGAATAAACGAGTTGTATCACTTTCTCACTGACAAGAGACTAAAGTAGCATCACAGTATCATACAAAGGCTGAGGCTGTGACCTCTCTGGAGGTCACTTTTTCCAATATCCTTGCTCAAATTCGGCTGCCTACAGATGGTTGTCCGGCTTTTGAGTATCTCCAAGGATGGAGACTCCACAACCTCCCTGGGCAACCTGTGCCAGCAATTAGTCAACCTCACAGTGAAAAAACATTTCCTGATATTCGGATTGCATCTCCTGTGTTTCAGTTTGTGCCCATGGCCTCTGGTTCCATCACTGGGCACTGATGGAAAGAGCCTGAGTCCCTCTTCTTCACACTCCCTTCACATACATTGATGTCATTTGAGCCTTCTCTACTCTGAATAGTTCCAGAAAACATGGATAAATCAAAGGATGAATTGGGTAGCTATTGCTCAGTTGACTTTCTTCTACTGAAAGGATCAAAAGCAAATGTCCCTTTCTTTCCCTGTTGCTTTCCTACTTTCCTCCCTTCCCCATCCATACATCTTCTATATGTCATGCTGTCACCTTTTTTCCATAGAATACCATGTACCAGGAATCTTTCTATATCCCAACAAGAAATGTTTAATCTGGAGAGGTGTGCAAATAGAATAGCTCATGCAAGAAATATGAACTGGTTTGGTTAGTTTTAGGCTTTGGACTGATTTATGAGTGATTTATGGTTCCATATGAATAAAACATAATCAGAAACTGTGGAGTGATAGTGCTGTATGTACAAAGAGGAGAGCTGCTCCTGTTACACATGGGAATGTATAGGCCATAATCTCATTATTTTGAGGTTGTGAAAGGTGTGCTAAGTGACTAATTCATTTCACTAATATATGACAAGCCACTTTCATAATGGAAAAAATTACTTTCTGAGATAATTTGTTTTTAACAACTTATCATAGTTGTTACCCTTCTAAGGGTGTATATTTTCCACTGTGCAGAAAACTGGTACGGAATAAAAATGCTGATTTAACTTCAAAACAGAAGTTGTTTGGTTTTTTATAATGTATAAACTTTGGTCTTTGAGATATTGCTCAGAAGACAACCATGTGTTTTATGTGGCCTCTGTTTGCAAAAAAGAAAATATACTTCCTTCTGGGGAAAATAAACTAGATTACACTGCAGGCAAAGAAGATTTAAGCCGCAAAGTTCAAGAGTACTCAGATGGAAATTCAGCTCCAGATTTTCCTATTGTCTCTGTTCTTGCATTCCACTTAAATGTGCTGTTGTATTCATACTGAATTGAATGGGGTTTGGTGTAGAGGTAAAAAGCAAGACTATTCTGAGTTTAATACCAGGTAACGACTTTGCTGACTTCAACAGTCAAAGTGACAGTGTTCAGATGCATATTTAACATCTGTTAAATGAACCATTTGGAATAAAATGCACTATTCACTGCTCTTACCATTCTCTCTGCAAATGCATTGTGAAACACCTCATGGTATTTTTTTTAATCTTTATAAAATTAGTAATGAGGACCCACAGTATCCCAAACGTTACTCTCCTCGTGTGATGCTTCTTCAGTGTAAATCCAGTCCCATTTCCAAGATGGCAGAATTGTCTGACAGAGCTAAAAATTACCAGCTCTGTTCCTCTGCTCAAGTCTGGCACAGATGGGCAGATCCTTTCGTGTCCTGGATATTCAGAGCCATTAGACACACCCTCAATTGTCTTATTTGTTCTTCTCCATTTATGTTGGCCATCACTTTCTAATAGGCCATTCTCCTCCACCCAAGACAAGCAGCTAGTCAAGCAAATGGATGAAAAGGCTTGAAAGTTCCCATAAGCATGGGATTTTCCCCTGGGCATGTTTTGTCTGGGACATTTTGTGATGCAAAGGTCTTACTGGTAAAAAGAACTGGCCCTACAAGATCTGGATACCTTGCTGAGAGGGGAATACTAGTTAACATGCATAATATCCAGTACTGGTGGAGAAAGTAAAAAGAAATCAACTAATCATTTTTAACTTATGCAACAAGCTGCACTCCTCTGACTGTGTTTTTTTCTCAAATCTGCTTGCTAACTATGATGCACTATGTGCCATTTGTGCTTTAGGGGATTAGGAGTCTAAACCAGTTTCCTGGTGAAAGCAAAGACTTTCTCGTTAAACGTTAAAGGCAAGGTTTTAATTAGTCACAAGGTTCTGGCAGAGAGTTAAGTCCTTCCTTCGATAACCAGCAGTTACAGATGCAGCAAATGTTAATAACCTAATAGGAAGCAAACTAGGTAGGCATACATTACATCATCCAGAAAATGGATTTCATGTAGCTTTTTGAGGGACTGATCATACTTTAAACCAAAAAAGTTGTTTATTTTTAATATGGAGATTTGGGCCGTTTGCAGCACCTAAAGCTACAGTCCCATCATGTCCCATTTCTCTCAGATCTAGTGTTAACATGCTCCCCGCTGCACAATTTGAAGTTAAAAATGTCACCTGGTTTAGGGGTGGAGAGGGGAAGAAATTCAAACAGAAACAGCAAACATTCTCAGACTTTTAGCAGCTATGCCTAGATGTCAAAAGAACAAACATAAGAAATCATGAGAGATTTCAATAGCTTTGTATCTGATATGAGCTTTTCAAGCCACAAATGGACTTTTTAAAGGAAACAACAGTATGTATGGGGGTTGTGTGGGAATGGAAAAGGGCTTCGTATGTGAGCGTGACACCAGAGAGGATTTAGTGGGAATGGCAAAGGAACCAAGTTTTATCAAATGCCAGCCTAAAGGCCCACAGGAGCCTGGTTTTCATCTCCATGTAAAAGGAGAGCAGCCTGCTACACAGCTCCTCCTCCACCATCACTGGAGCCACCAAGGACTTAGATGGAGGAAACTCTCTTAAACAGAGCCTAGCAAATCACAAGGAAACTCCAAATTGAGGGGTTTGAAAGGTTACTGTATCTCTGGGGATACAGTAACTTTACAGGATGCTTTAGGAATACTGTATCCCAGATAGAGAGAATTTTGAAAGGTTACTGTCTCATTAGGTATATAGTAACCTTTTTGAAGACTGTATCTTTAGGGATAGAGAGTTGTTACTTTGACATCTTTCTGATCTTCGGTTTTTTAACCAAGTAAAACGAAAAGGTAGACTGCTACTTTATTCTCTTAAATAACTAGTCAGCTTAGATATCTTCTGCACTGTGCAGTTTAGGAAGTAAACAGAAGTTGCACTAAGAAATCTTGAGCTTTTGTCATGGCCAAGAAGCAAGACTCTTTTTGGCAGTGGGTAGGGCTTTTCCAGTGGACCCACTGCAGTTTTCTAGCCTCTGCACTGTTGTAACTTAGGAAGTTCTTGAAATGCAACCCAACATCAGTACAGCAGCACCAGGGTATACTAACGAGACCTCATTTACTGTAGTTTTAGTACAACAGGGAGAGATTGCCAGTGTCCTGTACACAACATTGTGCTCTAGTGATTTTTCCCCTGGCTTTGTTTCAGACAGTTGTATGATAGGCTGATAACTATATTTTAAACTCTATCATGCAATGTATGCAGGTTTCTGACTTACCCTATTCAAACTGAAGCTCAATATCTATGGCTTGATTTTCAGGCAGCTGAGGAAGCAGGGAATGTTACTTGTCCTGTAAAGCACTCAGCATAACAACTGGCTTTTTGGTGCCACTCCTCTAAAACCTTGGTTGAAGATCACTATCACTAGGTAGTCCCAAACTAGCTAAGAAGCTCCCTTGACAGGTCTTATCCAGACTCCACCTAGAACAAAAGAGAAAATGCAGAGGAGTGGGTACGCATCAGAGACAGAGGAAGAATATTCAAACATTCCCAAGAATTCAACATAGTCACTCAATATTCCACTCCAAGACATCTAGCACTGTCCATCCTACTGCCTGAGTTTTCCATATAACCAATTTACAGTAAAGCGAGAAGTTTGCACATGATATTCTGACATGACAACAGTGCTATCAAAAACATTAGGGATCTCCTGCAGCTTTCTCCAGTCTTACTCACAAAAACCTTATGAAAATAACCACACACTCTTTAGCGTGAAATCATTCCTGCCATGCTAACAGTATTTGTAAAAAGGAGGTAACAGACCATGTATGTCAGCCTTGTAACTAAACATAATTTTCATAACAGACATTCCTTCTGTACAGTTCTTCCTCTGTTCATAATGTTGAATCAATTCACAATAGTCCATGTGCTGGGACTTTTTGGTTGCCAGTTTATCCAATCTTTATGAACTAGCCTACCTGCAAACAGCACTTCTAATGGCGCTTTGTTTATCAGTCTCTGCACATGCAGTATTTTACTCTCTACATGTACCAGGAGAAACAAAGTAGAGGAGCTAGTGCTCTTAAAGATGAAGCATTTCAGGCTGCAAGCAACCCTCAAGCTTTGTGAAGAGTGGAATAAGAACACCTGATATCCTCCAGTTTTGGGTCTTTTGGAGTCTCCAAGCCTGACAGAGACCACAGTTCCCTGCAGAGAATATCCAGAAGTCCTTTGGTATCCAGCCACCTGCTGCCACAAAATTCTAACATCTTCAATAGCTCAAAGACCCTGCATGTCTCTGTCAGGTCTGTTATAACAGGGAGGGAGATTTCCAAACTGTGTATACATAGATGTGGACACGTGTACAACACACCTGCTGAGAACAGTCCTTTACGAAGGAAAGCAGGCTGAAATATGTGCAAGTCAGTCAATACAAAGTCAGTCAATATTCAAGGCAGCTGCTAAAAAGCTTATTAAATGTTTGCTAAACTCTAAGAATCAGACTGAATGCTTGCTACAGAACTGCATACCATGGCATCCCAACAGCAGCCTCTTGAGTACTCCCACCGTGTGGGAGTTAATGTTACAGTATCACCATGAACAGCCCCAACAGAAATGAGACTTTCATCCGCTGGTCGCTCAGCCTTAATTAAAAGGACACTTTTCAACTAAACTTCAACGACATCTTTTGAAAAGAAGTTTTACACCTACTATATTCTTTTGGACAAAACAGTCTGCTCAGCTGTATTCCCAGATGTACATTTTGTTTCTCCCAGGTTGCTGGGATCCACAGCTATTTAGAAAGAAAGTTAGTTATGTCAACTGCTAGGATTTTCTACAGTACTTATTACATCAGCTTTCCTGAGAAACTTGTCTGAGCAGATCCCCTTTCTTGCTTTCTCCTTTCATAATGTTCTTCACATTCCTCTTTCAATATTTGTTGTTCTCTCTGTGGAAGCTCAGTTGCTGGCATTTTAAGGAAAGGTTACACAGGAAAAGGGTTACTAATAGAGTTTTTTCTCCCTATCCCATGCTCCTGGAGAGAAACTGTAGTATGTGGCACCTCTAAAGAAAGGTTTTCCTTCAGGAAAACTTATAGCATTCACTGCCAGTTTCAGAACGAGAAAAGAAATTTGGAGCATAAATGACCTTGGCCACTTTCATTCTAAAAGTGAAGAAGTAAGGAGGAGCAAGAGAAAAACACAAAACAAAACAAAGAGAGCAAATTATGCTGTGGTGCAAGTAGAAAGCCAGATCCCTAAATTTTACCCTCATCCCTGGTACTTGGGTGACTGTGCCTCTGATCAATTTGCTCCTGTGTATCTGCTTGCTTCTTGTTGAGCCCTGGTCCTTAGGAAATGGCCTTGGAAGTCAGCAGTCATATGTATCTCAAAATGTCCTCTAGATAAAACGGTACCAATTGAAGTGTGGTCCACAGACAGCTGACAGTGCTGGAGCCTGCCCAATTCAGGTCCAAAGCCTTCAAAGTAGGCAAGATAAGAACAAAGGATGTTAAGTCTGGATAGAATTTGAATAAGCTGGGAATGGAGCACAGACAAAAAATGATAAACATTTCCCACCTCAGGTGTATAAACTTGGGTGGCTTAATACACCTGCTCACCAGTGCAAACACGTGCACACACACGTGAGGTGGCGCGTGAGATGGCTGCTTGCTTTTTATTTATGCCGGATCTTGTGCAGTCCCTCGCTGCAGCACAGCAGTGTGTGCAAGACACAGTCTGCTGTAGGGCTTCAGCTCAAAAGCATGGTAAGGACACTTATTTTGACTACTGCTAAGTAGCTGAACGTGAAGCTGGGAAGTATCTTTTATTCAAATGCAGCTCCTTCTTCTAAACGCAGGGGCTCCCACATGACCTTCTTGAGTAGTTTGAGTTTTTCTATACAAACAATGGAGAAGGAAATCTAATTTCCAGCCTAGGAAAGGAAACACAGCTCAGTGAACACTGTTAGCAAGGGCAAGCATATTATCTCTGCCTGTTTGAGGGCCTACCGAGTTGAACAAAATCTTTTCATTAGCTGTAGTAGTCTTTATTACACTCCATTTGAATGATTTATTTAGGATTAAACTTTTATTGAAAAACACACTGCTCTTAATCCCAAGGAGTTTTCTTTTCCATGGGACTTGGTAATGCTTCATTCTAGCAAAATGCTGAATGATCTGTGTCATGTAACATGAAGTGTAACTGAAGCATTCTGTATCCTGCAGAAGTGCTTTCTGGACCTCTGTTTTTTAAGAGACCTGTGAAAAATCAACAGAAAAAAACACAAACAAAATATTTTGAGTAGGCTTAAATTTGGTACAAATAGGCCCTCATCTTTACTGCATAACTTCTAAAGAAGTCATAAAAAACAAACAAATGAAACAATTCAAAATCACTGTGCTTCAAGAGCAAAATAATCTAAAAATTAGCTTAATCCTTTTAGGATCAGGAATCTGGGCAGATAACTAAAGCAATGGATAATAAAATAGTCAAGCACTGGGTACCCGGTTAATGTATCAGCATCCTGATAAACAATGCTAAAAGAACAGGAAATTATTGAAGCAGAAGGCTTCATTTACTGTTCTGCTAGGATTACTGCTTAGGAAGTCACTAATACACATTCACAATGAATACTAGAAGTGAGCACAGGCAGAAACTTGCCTGTTACCCAAATGAGTATGACTAGTGCTGAATGTGTCTTTTACTAATCTTTTTTACAGTCTTCTTCACTTCCAGAAAGGCAAGATTATTTGGGAGGTTCCATTTTATCACTTAAATGCAGAACCAGACACAAGGAGTTCTTCCAGGAGCTCTTTAGGTTTTGGTTTCTTCTGAGCAGAAAGAACATCAAAGAGTAACAAAGCCCAAACCACCTGCTTCAAACTTGGTTAGCCAACCTGCTTGTTGGATTGGGAATTTTATTCTCTTTTTTGGAAGACCAAAAAAGAAGGGGGGGGGGAGAAAAAGAAATAAAACTATCCAAAAGCAGTATTCTGTTCTTGTTCCAGTTGATCTGTTTAGGATTTTGTCACCGGCCTTTGCCAGACCACAAAATCCTTCTGTGTATGAAAATAGTACCCCTCCCATGGTACAATGTGACCCCCCTGTCCTTTTTGACAAAAATCACTCACGAGATCACAGGAGTGCTTTCCCACCTTTGCTGTCTTAGGAGCCCTGTGTAGGATGGGCCGCTGTCACAGGTAAATCCAGCTGGGTTAGTAACAGACTGGAAGATGTGACTTCTACAGAGAAAGGCAGACCCAGGACAAACAAAGTGACATGAAATAGAAAGGGAACTTATAACCACAATTTACCCTCCCCCCCCCTTCTGTTTTTACCCCTTCCTCTCTTCCTACTTCATCCCTAGTCTTCCTACCCTTTTGCAAAAATCAAAAATGGCACTGGTCATGTTACAGGTACAGACCATTTGTCAAAGATTTGTTTCTTCTCTCTCTGTGTGAGTTAATCATTCCCAGCAAGCTTTCTGGGGTGATGAGTCAGTAGCACAAAGAAATGACAGATTAAATGCAGTGTTTATTTTCCTCTGCTTTTTTTTAAGCATGGCCATTTCGCCCATCTGCAAGCATAGAGGAAGGGGTAACCAAATGTACTGCAGGTGGGAGCTCTAAGGATAATGTCTCCAAAACCTGCAGCTTCCAGTAAAAGCCTTGTATTTATTGTATTCTTCTTGCTGTTTACTCAGCAACACACTGTGTTAAAAGTTGCAACATTCGTCTTTAAACATTAATTACCAAGGCATGATTACTTCAAAAATTCACTGCCTGAGGCCAGAGCCTAGGAAGTGGAAAATGTAATTTCAGAAAGCGATGAGAACAAATGCTGAGCCTTTTAATTGCAGGTTAGTACAAATGACTAACAGTAAAGCAAAACTCATTTTGGATGAATTTGTTGTTCTGCATGTCAAATCCAAAACTTAGTAGTGAGTTGCCTGGGCTTTGTTCTTTTCCCCTACTCTTTTTGTAAAAGACAGAGAAGCTGATGAATTTTTGAGAGGTTCAGGAAATACTTTTCTAAAAATTCAGTTACAATTATTTAAAATAAAGAAAGAAAGACTAAATGATGCATACAAAGTCAGGCAAAAGTTGCAGTCATTGTTGGACAATTACTGTGCTCTTTTGAACCTCCATTTCAGGATGAAGGCTGCAGTGATTCTCAGCATCTATCTCCTTCTCCCTCAGTTTTGCTGAAATGTATCTGGAATTACCAACACTATAACAATGGATTGTTATGCTGCTTCATCATGTGTGGCAACATAAGATTACATATGCTGCTGTGACTCAATGTTACCCTATCGGGTGTCCCAGTCTGCTGCCAACAGAACTACTGCAATAGCAAAGGCATTTTCATCTCCACCCTTCTGGCCTTGCTGCTGGCAGAATGGGGACAGCCCTGCATAACCACTTTTGCAGGGCATCAAAGGCACTTCTTTTCACACAAAGGTAGAGAGTTCATTCCAGC